CTTTTCCAGCCTGGTTGATTCTGTGATTTAATGCACTTTGCCATCCTTCTGAATCATGTCATGCTTTGTACAATGTTGCTTTGTGCCCGTTGTGGATACAAATGCCACAGAAAACTTAAAAAAAAAGAATTAAAATCGAAACACTCCTTCAAGGATAAGCATTTCAAAGCTTCTAAACATGCCTTTGCTTCTGGGATAGTTGTGTTTGACCACGCTGCCCGTTGATGCAGCGCAGACACAGAGGTGAGGTTTCCTGTGCATGTGGGGTTTCCTCTGTGTAGTGTGTGTGTTTCCCTGTCCTGTGGTGACTGCTCTCATGTTTCATTTTCATGCTTTTAATGCGGGAAATTGGAGGTCTTGCAGCTTTTAAGATATGTTCAGTTTGTAAAGGATGCTGATTTTTCTGTTTCGCTCTGTGCTGGGTGCCTGACTTTCTCTTCTTCATATAAAAATACACTCAGATGGCAATATGGCATGTAGTGATAGCGCAAGGGGGAATGGCTTTAAACTGGCCATTTAAAATGGCCAAAGGGGAGGTTGAGATGAGCTCTTAGGCAGTTCTTTGCTGTGAGAGTGCTGAGGCACTGGCACAGGGTGCCCAGAGAAGCCATGGCTGCCTCATCCCTGCCAGTGTTCAAGGCCAGGTTGGACACAGGGGCTTGGAGCAACCTGCTCTAGTGGAAGGTGTCCCTGCCCGTGGCAGGGGTTTGGAGCTGGATGAGCTGTAAGGTCCCCTCCAACACAAACCATTCTGTGGTTATGTTTCAAAGGAGTTTAGAGATATATTTGCCCAAAATAGAGTGCTTTTGGGAAGTCTTGTCCACATTGGTCTTCTGCATGATGGGCTTTGGTAGAGCATGATGTTTCAATGCTGTGGGCTGTGACTCTGTGAGGTTGCCAGGCTCTTCAGCTTCCAAGGCTTGCCTGGGAAGCAGTGTGGTTTGTGGCATGGATGTGTCTGATCCCCTCTTGTTTTTTGTAGCTTTGGAGAAGGAAAGAAACAGAGGCATTGGGAAACCACTGCTTGGAGGGCCCTTCTCGCTCGTCAGTCATGAGGGACAGCCCAAGACCAGCAAGGACTATATCGGCCAGTGGGTCCTGATCTACTTTGGCTTCACACACTGCCCTGACATCTGTCCAGATGAACTGGAGAAAATGATTGAAGTGGTAGATGAAATTGGTATGGGAATTTGGTTGGTATTGTGGTCCTCTTCATGGGAGGTCTGGGTTTAATGTGGTAAAACACTGCAAGTGATAATAAGTGATGATCTTTTAAAAAATGCCATTGACTGCTCAGTAGTTGACTTAATTGCTAAGTGATACATAGATCAATCTGCCTGTGACTAGGATCTGCTATTTAGAGCATGACAGCACTGATCTTCCTGCAACAGGGGACTTCTTGGTAATAAAACATGATGGTGGCAGGTTAAAGGAAATGGTGCTTTTGCATTGTATTGTGGCCAAGCAGCAGTTGTGGGGTGTGTTAGAGTTGTTTTTCACCTCTGAGATTAAATCTCCCAGAGTCTCTTTTGAGAATGTCTGTGCTGTGGAATGGAGGTTGGGGAAGGCTGAGGGATAGAGGTGGTTTTTCTCAGCCTGCAGGCCCTGAGGAGTTATGGAGCAGGGATAATAGCAACCAGGCAAGTGGGAGGGTAGACTGAAGTGACGAAAGTACAGTGAAAGGTATGGCTGGAACATCACAGGCCCCCTTTGTACTGACCATTGTGCTTTGATACATGCATCATGCCATGGCATTTTCTGCATCAGAGCCAGTTTGTTATCTCCCCTAAGCAGGGCAGGGGCTTCAGCTGAGAGCCTCCACCCAGGACAAGCACAGAGCCTTGGATTTCATTCACAAATTGCATATGTTAAGCTGCAGAAAATGGCCTTTTTTGTCACTTAGGGTGGGCTCAGGTGTTACAGTAGCTTGGCTGTGAGCTTGTTTGAAGGGAGATGAGAAATGATTTTTGTTCTTCTAAGAGAAATGTTGTTAATGTCACAGATAGAATTCCATCTTTGCCTAATCTAACTCCACTCTTCATCACCATTGATCCTGAGAGAGACAGTGAAGAAGCCATTGCCAAATACATTAAAGGTATTACTGTTTTCTTCCTCCATGTCTTGCAGCATGTAACATAGAGCACTGAAAAGGAGGCTCTTGTTGGGATTCTGCTCGCTAAAATGTCTAAATGCTTTCTTTCTATTTAGAATTTTCTCCAAAGCTGATTGGATTGACTGGTACCAGGGCACAGATTGACCAAGTGGCCAAAGCTTATCGTGTGTATTACAGTGAAGGTCCCAAAGATGAAGATAATGATTACATAGTAAGTAAATGTAGGGCATTTGCCTAATGAAAGAGTTTGTATAAGAGCAGCATATAGATTTTAAAATCAGAAGGCAGCTGTTGCAATCTATGCTGAAGTGGCACATGACAGAGCCCTGTTGCAGTGATATGTTAAGCTGCAGTTTAGAGGTTTCAGTCAGAATCAAAGTGCCCTCTTACCTCAGGCTCACTGAAACATGTTCTAAAATTTACAGTCGCTGGCCTGCATATAGAATAGCAGATGAAATGGCAAGCCTGGCATGTAGGGGTTTTGTCTGGCCATTTTCCTACGTGCTCCAAAGTGAAAATGGAACTAGGAAATTAAGGCAATAGGAAGAGGGAGAAACCACTCGTATCCTGCCAAACAGATACCAAGGAGCAGGGTATTCCTGACAACAGACTTGGATGATGCAAAGTCTGCCTGCAGATACCATAGGGATCTTCCACCTGTATCAAATGACCTCAAAGACAGAGCATGTTAATGGGAGTAAAATACATAAAGTAATTGTGTGAAGGGGGAAAGTGAGGTTTAAGTGAGGCTAAACTGGTTAGTCAAAATCTGGGTGTGAATAGAACTGGCTGTAGGGCTCAGAGCTGCTGCCAAGGCCTTCCTGACTTGCCACATCCTGAGCAGACTGGAAGAGTAAAGTAGGTACAAGTGTGTATGCTTAAACCATGACAAAGTGATATGATAAAGGAGGATGCATATTATATGACCTTTTTTATTTTCTTCATTACAAAGAACTAAGGGCATCAGAGATCTAAAACCAGGTTCCAATGAAAGCTGGTGGTTCTTGTTGCATTGGACATGTGAGAATTGGAATCCCTCGCTACAGAGGGGAATGGTAGAAGTTTACGGGAGTTCACAGGGAGACTTGTTGTTAGTCTGTGGAAAACCCAATCTGTTGAGGATTATGAAGTACACAGGCATGTTGCCTAGTTCAGGAAGCCTGTGAGCTAAAACATGTTTGGAAACTGGGAGGTAATAGAGGAAACATATTTTTGGTGCTGATTTTCTGCTCTTCTTCAGAGCAACCATATCTGGCCACTTTTTCAGGTAGGATGCTGTGGCAGGTGAGGTTGGGTCTAGTCCAGTATTGTTTATTCTTAATCTGTTTCTAAAAACCACCTGACTGCAGAAAACAGATTATCCATGTGAACAAAGGTTGCTGGAACAAACAGAGAAAACCATCAAGAGTAGCATATGATACCAGTAAAGAGGAGGTGGAATCACACTGGTGATGTGTTATTAAAAGGGATGTGAAGTGAGAGATGAACTGTTTTCACTTAGTGGCAACTCAATAGCTGTAGAAGTCTGTGTGTAAGGTACTGTATTTGAATGGAGGAGAGAAGCTTGCTGGGGAAACTCAACACCAATTCCAGTCAGTCTGAAAAGCATCAATCTGAAATCAATCTGAAGGTACTGCTTAAAAACTGGGTTTATAAAAGGGGGCTAGTGGAAATGCAAGAATAGGTTATAGGAGCAGGACTGGCAAAGGATGCCTGCTTAGGAGAGGGAAGATAATAAGTAGAATCTGACATTAAGTGAACTGAAGTTGAGGAGGGATGATGAAAAGAGGTCAGGAAAGCTGAAAGAGTGCTGCTCCTTAGGAAGCAAACCACACGTGGATTCTAGGAAACCACACTTGGATTCTGGCATGGCTGTGAAGGGAAAGTGTAGGGGTTCAGCCAGGTCAAATAACTACAGATGACAGCAGCTTCATGGGAGGCTGGAGAGTGAAACTGAACTGGAGAATGTGACTACACATGTGAATGAAGTAGGAGAAGAGATTTGGGATCCAGGAAGAAGATGACTGATCAGTGCTAGGGTTGGCAGCCTGAAAGAAGGGAAGGGCAGCAAGGAGGAAAGGCCAGAGAACTGGGAGCAGGAGAGCAGCCTCGGAGCCCCAGCCGTAGTTCCAAGGAGAAAGAGTATCACCTGCGTGTCCTCAAGAGTTGTCAGGCTCTGTGTGTTGAGAAGCAGAGAGCTCTGTGTGCTCAGGGCAGGAAGGCCAGAGGACACAGGGCTGTGTAACAAAATACAAAGAGCAAGAACAGACCTGGGAGGGGGAGCTTGAGGCTGCTTTTGTGCCTGACTTAGTCAGGTAATTACTACACTCATTTTTTTATTTTTTTTTTTTTTTTCCATAAGGTATTTCCTTTTCCTTATTGTCCCTGTCCTGTCAGTTGGTGACTAACACTGCCAGCTGTGCCGGAGCAGCTTCTGTTTTCCTTGCAAGCTGCTGGGAGGTAGGAAGAGGAATAGGTCCCCTACAGCCAGTTCAACTGTGCTGCTTGTTTTGACTTGAAAAGAGCCTCTAGATGAGTACTTCCAACTGTATTTTCTAAACATGTATTTGCATTTTACAAGTATTACTTGAACACTACTAGTTCCTATTTAATAGTCTCAATTTTCTCATTCTCAATACCAGCATATCCAATGTACTTGTTTTATTTGGTGGTTTACAAGACTGCATTGAAACTCAAATGATGATTTTCATGTGCAGAGAGTGGGAAGAGTGCAGGCTTCAGGCAGAGCTTGAAAACTGGTGCACACAAACTGCACTCCAGCCTCACTGCATTTAATCTTCCACAGGCCAGGGAGTAAAAATGCTCTGAGCAGGCTACCTTTTTTTGGTAGCTGCCAGTTGAAGGATCTGACTTGTGTTTCAGATTTGTCTCCTGGATTTTGTGATCTGGTACTGAAAGTTTTAAACTAGAGTAAAATTTATTGCAGTAGGTTTTAATTCAAATAATTTTGCGAAATGTTTTTTCACTGACAAATGCCATCAAGTTTAATGCAGGTGGTACTGGAAATGTTCATCTGATTTGATTTCAAACACAGTTGCACGCTCAGTGCATAGTACTTTTCAGAGCTTCTTCTCCAGTGGCAGTGAGATGATGTAGTCACTTGAGCAATCACAGATTCATGGCCTCCAGTTTCAGTATTTTGTCTTTCACAGAATCCCAGACTGGTTTGTGTTGAAGGGACCCTAAAGCTCATCCAGCTCCAAACCCCTGCATGAGCAGGGACACCTTCCACTAGAGCAGGTTGCTCCAAGCCCCTGTGTCCAACCTGGCCTTGAACACTGCCAGGGATGGGGCAGCCACAGCTTCTCTGGGCACCCTGTGCCAGTGTCTCAGCACCCTCACAGGGAAGAACTTCTGCCTAAGAGCTCATCTCAGTCTCCTCTTTCATGAAGATACCAGACAGTACCTGCAGGGGCATTTAAAATAAATTTACGGTGCAAGGGGTTGGACTAGAGGAGCTTTGGAGGTCCCTTCCAACCCAAACTATTCTATGATTCATGGAATTGTTACTTAGAACATGTTTTAAGGTTATTTCAGTGCGGACACTAGAGGGAGCCCCTGCCTAGCACACGTGTTGCCCTCTGCACCAGCTCCTCTATCTGCAGCTCCTGTATCGCAGGGATGCTCTTGCTCCCATTGCTTGTACTGCAAGTGAGCTTGGTTTAGTGAAACACCTCTGTTTCTATTGGGTTTGCATCATATTAGCAGCAGGAGCTTGGAATGCCTTGTGGGCTTCGTGGAGCATCATGAGAAGTAGAAGGAAAGTGGAAAAAGCGAGTGGGAAAGACCTTTAGCCCACACATTGCCCTTGCCTTGTCTGTGCTGCAGGAAGGGTGCCAGCAGCTGAAGGAAGCTATTTCCTATTCCTTGAAAGTATTCCTTCAGACATTCTGAGTATGCAACTAGTTTTCTCTATCTTCTTGGGTAAAACAAGAAGACACGGAGGTGATGCTTTAGCGTCTTGGTGAGAAGTCATGTCAGACTGCTGAAGCAAAGTGTCCTGGGTTCAGCTGAACCCAGGACACAAAGGCTGAAAGGGTCACTGTTGCTGATGACTGACAGATGTGCAGGATGCTGTAGTATTGAATGGGTGGCTCCAAAGAAGATCGAGACTCCCTTTTTCTGAGGAGTTGCATGGAGAAGAGGAGGGGTGATGGGTACAGGTTACTCCTGGGAGATTCTCACTGGACCCAGCAGGAAAGATTTTCACCATGAAAACAATCAGCCACTAGAATAATCTCCCCAGGGAAGTGATGGATTCCCCAGCAGTGGACACTCTTGAGATTTGGCTGGACAGGGTGCTGGGACATCTTGTCTAGATCATGGTCTGCCAAGAAAGCTTGGACCAGATGATCCTTGAGGTTCCTTTCAACCTGGGATTTATGATTCTGTGATCTTTTTTACCAAGCCACACTGTGCTCTCTTGCAGGTGGATCACACAATAATTATGTACCTCCTTGGGCCAGATGGTGACTTTGTGGACTATTATGGCCAGAATAAGAGGAGTGCTGAGATTTCTGCTTCTATTGCTGCACACATGAGAAAATACAAATCCTAAAACACAAGGTCTTCAAAGTATGATGTGAACGTCACCTCTAGGTTTGGCTGGAATTGGGCATTGGAGTTAAAGCAGAAGTGTGCAAGTGTGACATCCTGGCATCACATGCCTCCTTTCTTCCAGGTAAGAAAGGCAACCATACTTCTATAAAATACCATCATCAAAACTCTCAATAGAGCCTTCCTTATGCATATGATTTGCAGCAAGATTTGGGATGTCTCTGAAGCATTGTTGGGAGCAGAAAATGGAAAGCACTTCTCATGTGGGAATAATATTTATCACTGGTAAAATTAACTGGTATCTCTTGGCAAGACTTCAGCAAAGGACAGTCACTGCAGGAGGACAGTTGCTTGAGGAAAAGCCACATGTGCCAGAGAACCCTCTTTTCTGCACTGTTTTGCCTTCTGGGAAAGGCAGTTACAATATTACAAGCAGAAGAGCCTTAAGAATACTTATGGTTAAGAGGTCAAGAAGATGAAGAGCACTGAAAGCATCAGGAGCTTCCACGCATGGGACCAGCCCTGTAGTGTGCCTGACTGAATGCTGAATTAAATGGATCTTTTTCGTTTGAATGCTTATATGAAGTGGCTTTTTCTTGATTTTTTTTCCCAGGTGAACACTGTTAACTTGTAAGGAAATGAGGAATAATTTGCAAATCTGATTTTCCTTCTGGCCTAAATCATTTGATGCATAGTCAACCTGATTGTGCTATGCTGAAGAGTGGAATGGGGAGGGTGAAGGGGTCTGTCCATGCATAGGGCTGTCAATCAGATCAACTTGATGCAGTGTGGCATTTGAAAATAAAGATTGCTTTGTATAGCAGTATATATTTATTTTTTCTTAGTTAGGTTTGACTTAGGTCCATCAGTACTTTATACACTGGGGAAGTTTCATATTCTTGCTCGTTTATCTCTTACTAGAAAGAAGTGGTTATCTCTGGTAGTGTAAACCATAAGATGAATGTGCTTTTGTAAGGTACCTGAAGCCCAGAGAATGGCCCACAGGAACCAAACCAGACATGTTCTTGGTGGCAGAGTGCTTAACACTGAACACAAGTGTTGCCACTGGTACTGCAATTTTTCTGAGTGTGGGGGTTAGAAGAGAACTCTCCCTTCATCTCTCCCCCATTTCCCCCTATGGGGCATTTCCATCTTTCCAAAATACTGAATAAAGGTAAGTGTAACCTGTTCCAGAGCAGTTATAAAGCAAAATAAAGTAGTGTAGCTCCACATCAGCTGCCCTGTGCTGTGGTGACTTCCTGAAGATGTTTAGAAGGTTATTCTGATAGAGTATGTCTAAGACTGCACCCTTCTGATAAAGCTCTATCAAGGAAGGAAGATTCCTGAAATTCCAAGACAAATCCCATCCCTCTGCCCTTCCCCAGAGAGTGAATAGTTTTAAGGTTTTTTTTGTTGGTTTTTTTTTTTTTTTTTTTCTCTGTTCTAAAGGATCACAGGAAGTTTTCTGTATCAGTTTACAGTGTGAGGTTTTAAAAGTCTTACTAGAATTCAACTCAACAGCTGAGGAAGTTGTGCTTTGTCTCCTGGCAGTTAAAGCAGCTCATGTCCCGCTTCTTTCTGCCTCTCAAATTGACTCTGCCCATCTCTTTTCCCTCGGTCTTTCCACTTGCTTTGGAATTGCGGTATGTGTGGGAGAGGGTTTTGTTTAAAAATTATTTACCCCCCTGTTTAGGCAATTGTCAGACTTCCACTGCCCGGCCTTAGTGCCAGCAGGGAACGCTGCTCTGTTCCCTGCATGCTGAGGAGCAGCGAGGATGAGCGTCCTGAATGCTCACCAGAAGGAGGCAGAGCTGTTCAAGGGGAAGACATACAGCGGGGGAAAGGGAGTATGTTGGGGGGTGTGCTTGGAGACTGTCACTGATGGGCAGTGTTTGTTCGGTATCAGAGCAAACGCCCCCTGTACTCACCACAGTAGCCCAGAGCCTGTGCCCAGCCCACAAAGAGGTTGCTCGGGAAGGTTTATGATGGAGTTCCTTGCTCGTGGCTGTGCTCCCTGAGTGTCCCTGTGGAAACTTCATGGCACTAGAGTTTTCACTTGGGAAGGGAATTGAAGTCTGGTGCTGTGAAGGTGAACCTCACCACAGGCAAAAGGGGCCCCCTGGGTCCCCCCCAGACAGATGGCTGCTGGAGCACTGATGTGTGCCTGCACCCCACCTGTTACTGGTGGCAAACAGCATCTCTTCAAAGTGGCTGTGTCTGTAACACTGACTGCAGAAGTGATGCCATCCCAGGCTGGGGACTAGTGACAGGGTGTCTGAGGAATGAGGGATGGTTCCATTTGTGTAGCCAAGGAAGGCAGCGCATTCCTTGTGTGCTGCGCACATAGCCCATGGAGGAGCTGAGCAGCATGGGTGATGTTGGCTGTTTTAGGAATACTCTCACCACCAGCATGGGCAGAGCCAGGAGCTGAGAAGTAAGGAGACCACGGCTTTAAATGGCTGCAAAGCCTGATGTACTTGCAGTCCAGATCATGGAATAACTTGGATGGGAAGGAAGGAGCCCCAGGAGGTCTCTAGTCCAACCTCCTGCTCAAAGCAGGAGCAGGAGGTTCAGAGCAGGTTGCTCAAGGTTTTAAACAGCTAAGGCTTGGAAACCTCCAAGGATGGAGCCGGCACAACTTCTCTAGGTGGTAAAACATGTTTCTTACTAGAGCAAATTTTCAGCACCATTCAGATTTCATCTGCCATTTTAACTCTTGTTCTCTCACCGTGCACCAGGGTGAGAAGCCTGACTCCATCTTCATGATAGCCTCTTCATAGGCATTGGAAGTCTGCTGTTACATCCTTCTGCAGCCTTCTCCTTCCCAGGCTGAACAAGCCCTGGTCCATCAGCCTCTCCTCATGCTGTACACGATGGCTGGCTCCAGACCTCTGACCATCTTGACCTTGGATTCTTCTCCCCAGACTGCCCCTGGCCAGTCAGTTCCCAGCGTGGGATTTTGCAGGGTCGTTTTCCTTACTGGGTGCAGGACTTGTTGAACTTCAGAAGGTTCCTGTCAGCCCATCCCTCCAGCCTGTCTAGGTCCCTCTGGATAGCAGCTATGACCTAGAGGTCAGTTGCCCAGCCATCCAGGTCATAAACTAGCTTGGACACAAGACATTGTGGCAGGTAAGTTTGGGAGCTGAGGTTGGACAGCATTCACCGCTCCCTCCACATCCTCCAGTCTGGTCGCTTTATCATAAAAGGCAGTCAGGATGCTCATAAATCCACACTGACTGTTCCCAGTCACCTTTTTTTTTTATGTGCTCAAACACATTGAAGTGTTTTTTTCCTCCTCTTTATTGAGCATTTTTCTTCTGCACTTAAAAAAGAAACCTCTCAGGAAAACTGCCCCTTATATGAGCTGGTGTGTCTTGAGCGGATGTGGGAGCCAGGCTGGGCATCAGTCCACAGTTATCAGGGCAAAATCCAGATTAGGCTTTGTTTTTCCATACTCTGTCACATGTGTACTGCCAATGTGAAAATACTCTTTGGACTGCTATGATAGCCAAAGAGCTCAGTCCAAATCCAGTTTGGATCTTGAGGAGAATTGCCTTGGCTCAAATGCCCTGTGACATAGGAATTTATCTGCTCCCCAGAGCTTTCCTGTGCCCAGAGCAGGCGAGGACGTGGCTCCCAGGCCTGATCTGCTTAGTGCCTGCTCTTCAGTGTTCATTTCAAAGCAGCTTGCTTTGATCAGGAGGTGCTGAGCATCTCTGCTCGTCACTTGTATTGAGCTTGAGCTGTGCCCCAGCATAGAATCATAGAACCATAAAATAGTTAGGGTTGGAAAGGACCTTAAGATCATCTAGTTCCACCCCCCTGCCATGGGCAGGGACGCCTTACCCTAGACCATGTCACCCAAGGCTCTGTTCAACCTGACCTTGAACACCGTCAGGGATGGAGTGTTTCGGCACCCTGTTCCAGCACCTCAGCACCCTTGCAGTAAAGAACTTCTTCCTTATATCTAACCTGATCTTCCTCTGTTTTAGTTTGAACCCATCATCCCTTGTCCTATCACTGCAGTCCCCGATAAAGGTCCCTCTCCAGCATCCTTGTAGCCCCCTTCAGACAGTGGAAGCTGCTCTGAGGTCTCCACTCAGCTCCTCTTCTCCAGGCTGAACAACCCCAATGTTCTCAGCCTGCCTCCATACAGGAGGTGCTTCAGGCCCTGATCATCCTTATGGCCTCCTCTGGACTTCTATGGGATCACGTGCTTTTGGAGCCTATCTCTTGCTTCAGCCTGTACCTTGCACTTGGGTGGTGAGGACTGCCTGGGTCATACGTGTTCACACAGTGCTTTGGATGCAGTTCTGTCATATATTTGAGTGATGGAAGTGTCTTTAATCACTGTCCCCAACCAGAGCAGCCTGCTGTGCCCTGGAGGGACTGAGCAGGACAATTCCAGGGCAGGTATTTCCCACAGTGCTGAATTTACCTACTGCCTCCAAACAAACTCCATGTCTGGTGGAGTAACTCCCAGGAGAGAGGAAAAATAGACATTTCTGCTGTCTTGAAACAAAGTGCAGCGTCCTGGCATGCTCCAGATCCACAGTCATCAGTCATGTTCCTTGACAATTTGTATTGAGCAAACACTTGCTGATAGTGCCAGAAACACTGCTGTGCTTTCAGGGGTTGGTGAGTGTCTTGACATGGAGCTTGCTGGCCTGGGGCTCACAGGGTGCTCCAGGGATGTGCCAGCACCTTCTTTGAGACAAAGGCAACCTCAAGACCACTCTTGAGTCACTCCAAAGCACAAACCAGCCAGCTTGACTCAGGGGCAAGCTGCAGTGATGGTGAGAGGGAGGGAAGAGGGCTGCAGGTCAGGACAGTTCGTCTGTGCTTCTTGCAAGGGTTCCTTGATTGGAAGCTGCCTTTATGTACCCCTCTTCCTGGGTGCTGGGGATACAGGGAGGGAGCAGGGAGGCTGCTGCAGGCACAGCAGGCTTAAGTACAGGCCAGAGCAGATTGTGCAGAGGGCACCAAACCACACCAGCATGAGGCCAAGGGATGGAACTCAAGAGCAAGGTGTGCACCTGATGAGCTGGTGCCTGGCCACGTGGCTGTCCATGTGCTTGTGTCTCCTCCTGTGCTGCAGGGTGTGTGTGGCTACCACACACCCTGCATCCCTCCAGGCTCTTCCCAGCACTATTGCTCTTCCTTGACTCCCTCCCCTGGGGTGTGCTGCTCGCACAGGGGTCCAGGTGATGGAGCC